GGGCGTTTCCGGGCGGCATGAGCCGGGCTCGTTTTTTTCATCAACAGTCACACACTTCGAGCTCTTCGCCTTCCCAGAACTCCATTCCCAGGCCACATTCTGGGGGGCCGGATGCAACAGTCACACACAAAGTGCTCTTCGACATCCCAGAACGCCATTCCCGGGCCACATTCTGGGGGGCCGGATGCAACTGTAGGCCACTTCGTGCTCTTCGACATCCCAGAACGCCATTCCCGGGCCACATTCTGGATGCCCGGAGCCAACTGTAGGCCATTTCGTGTTCTTCCATTTCCCAGAACTCCATTCCCGGGCCACATTTTGGATGCCCGGAGCCAACTGTAAGCCACTTCGTGCTCTTCGAGTTCCCAGAACTCCATTCCTGGGCTACATTTTGGATGCCCAGAGCCAACTCTAGTCCACTTCCTGGTCTTCGAGTTCCCAGAACTCCATTCCCGGGCCACATTTTGAATAGCCAGACGCTTCATACTCCTTCCGCCACAGCTGCGTTTGGTTCAGGACTTGCTAGTGACACTGCAGTCCTCTGCATTCAATCGTGCCACTGCATTCATTCACTGCAGACCACTGAGTTTTGATTGCAATGGCGTTCCCCTGGCCGTACCCCCATGTCCAACGTTCCTCCGCAGCCTCTGCTCCGCGAGGCTCGTCCGAAGTGTCGCCGCCTCGCGGTGCTTCTCAGCCTGCGCCGCCTCGCGGTGCTTCTCAGCCTGCGGAGGAAGGTGGACAGACGACTGGTTCTGGCGCTGTGCAGCCTGCGTCTTTCACGGTCGCCTCGTTCAATTTCGGGTTCGAGCAGGGCATGATGACTGGTAAGCAGGCGGCCACTCACTGCGCTAACTTCGGAAGGTTGTGCGCCAAGATAGTGGAGACCGCTGATGCTGATATGGTCTGTGGCAGCGAGGTCGGTGCGTTCCGTGAAGGCTTTCGCCGAGCAGGGATCAACGTGACAGAGATCCTCAGTAAGCCTTTCGGTGATGGCATTCGCTTCTAGGAGGTCGACAACTACTTGACTCTCTGGGGGTTCCGCGGTGCTTCTCAGCCTGCGGAACTGACTCTGTGCGAAGACAGCAAAGTTTACAGGCCTCCTTGCGGCCGAGATATTGATGCTGTTATTTCACATTTTGAGGTGAACAAACCAGGCCATGACAAGTTCCACGTGGTGATCGCCAACATGCACATCGTGTGCGGCAAGAAACCGCCGAGCATCCAGACTCGAAAGCGGACAGTTCGCCATCTCCGCTTGCACCTGGACGGCCTGGCCAAGATTCTTGAATCTAAACGAGGCAGTCGTTGTGCTTGTAGTCGGCGACGACAACCTCACTTTCCAGGAGGCGCGGGAGGCTTACCAGCGCGAGCAGAACGACGAGAAGGTATGGGAGGTCCATGCCACTCCGGCCGACCTCAAAGGCGACCACGTCGCGGTCTGAGGAGCAGTCGCCCGTTTCTGCTCCATTGCCGTTGGCGCGTCTTTTACGGATCGTGGCATGCGCAACGACGCACACGATGCGGTGGCGGTTGTGCTCACTCTCCCTGGTGCTATTCAGCCTGGGGAGAGCAAGAGGCGTAAAATTGTCGTCGAAAACGTCTCCGACGCCGACGTCAGCGTACAGGCGGACCGCGAGTCTTCTGTGCATTGGGATCGGTCGCCGAGTTCTGCTCCTCCGCTTTCACCGACTTCACCGGGTGATCCCGACTGCGTCGAGGATGTCGTTCAGAATCGCGCGGACGACTTGCACAGGGAGCCGAGGAAGCTTTGGGACGACAGGTACGACGAGGAGTACGATCCGAAAGTCCTCCATCATCTCAGTCTCTTGCTTTTCAAAAAGAGGAAGTCCACGGAGCCAGCGGACACTGATCTAGCTGGCGCTCCTCAGCCTGGCTCGGAATATGACACGGCCTTTTCGTCTCAGGAGGAGACTGGCCGAGCCATTCTCTCTGTCCTTAAGCTTCGACATGACTTTCTGCGGAGCAAGAACATCGACGACATGCGCTACGTTCTCACGGAGCCTGAGCGCCAGGAATTGGTCAGAGTAGCTCGCGACCAGCACGAGCAGTCGCGGCAGCAGCGTGCGTTTCAGGAACGGGATGTCGACAAGGGAAAAGCGAGAGGCAAGTCTGCGCCACAAGGGGGCCATGCGGTTCCGCAGGGTCCTAACAAAGGGCCAGGCGGTAAGAAAGGTTCTCACGGTGCTTCTCAGCCTGCGGGAAAAGGTGGCAGGCCAAGGGTGCAGGTCTGGGTAGCGTCGCCAAGTTTGTGAAAGACCAGAAGCGTAAGCGGTGGCATCGCCATTTGCAACGTGTGGCCGGTACCAAACAGATCTGGGAGGTGCTGGCCTTCTCAGGGCGCTTCGACGTTGATTGGCTAACGCAAGCGTTGCAAGCTGATCACAGTGAGGGCCGTGATGCAGCAGTTCCCGAGGAAGCTCTGCGGCAACAGCGGCGCCGGCTGCACCACCAGAAGGCCGAGGCCATCGCGCGCTACAACGAGGGGGAGCGGCTTTCCCTCCATCTGTCTGCCCAGGCTGGCCAGGCAAAGCCGAACTTCACGCGCAGGCAGCAGGACGTGTTGCAGACGTTTGAGAGCGGAGCGCTGCTTCAAATCCGCAACCAAGCGATTCTGGCGTGCGGGCACGGCCGTCTGTTCAGGGGCGATGGCGACTACCTGGGCATCGGCGGCAGCACGGGCGGTGGCTCCAGGCGCATCATCGATTCTTGGCAGCCGCCGGACTGGCGTGACTTCCTCCAAGACGATCAGGACATCTGAGTTTTGCAAGTCTCTCTGCCCGCGGTGCTTCTCAGCCTGCGGTCTGCCGCTCTCCAGCTGCGGTCTCGAGCAGTAGTGTTCGAAAGCATGCGAGTTCCTGCGGTGCTTCTCAGCCTGCAGGTTTCGCAGCCTGCGCTCTGCAGTACAAGTGCTTTTCAGCATGCGACATCCTGCGGTGCTTCTCAGCCTGCAGGGTTCGCAACGTGCGGTTTGCAATGCATTCCTTTTCAGTATGCGAGTTCCTGCGGTGTTTCTCAGGCTGCAGGGCTCCGAGGCTCTTCGCTTCGATGCCAATGTTTTCAGACACCGTAGCTCCGTTCCGTAAACGTCTTCCAAGAGCCGCTCGCAACCTTTTGCAGCTGGCTGTCTGCACGCTTCGCCGGCTTTTGCTGCGCGGACAATTTTCTCACACACGTCAGCGCCGTTTGTAGGCGTCAGAAAAACATGTAGACATTCACGAAGGGCTCAGTCTGTATATCGTCACATCATTACATACGCAGTCGTCGAACACATCGGTGTACATTCAGCGCTTTGTCCTTCTACAGCATTCTTTCCGTTGATAACAGTGTTCTGATGGGTTCGCTTCGTTCTAAAAGCGTTGATAGCAGTGTCTCGTTTGCGGACAACTCATTCTATATCAACTCACTGATACCGAGTTTCCTCTCACCATAAGTGAATGCATACCAGTGTATGTTGGTTACTACAAAGTGGGTTCCTACAACCGACTTCATGATCGCTATCATCATCGCAGATTTCACTCATCCTCATCACCACGACTGGTTCACGTTGGCCTGCGGTGCTTCTCAGCCTGCAGTTCCTTTCGTTACACTGTAGTTGAAGCCGTTCATGGCAGTGACTCGTTTACAGACAACTTTAGTATGGGGGGAAGTGTCGATAGCAGCGTTTCTTTTTACTTATACAAGCGTTGATAGCAGTGTCTCGTTTGTGGACAACTCATTATATATCAACTCATTCATACAGAGTTTCTTTTCGCAGCAAGTGAATGCACAGCAGTGTATCTGCATTACTGGCCCCCACTCCATTATCACTATCATCATCAACGATTTCCTACACGCGTGTGCGCGGCGGTCGCCATGAGTGAATAGTTTGCAGTGACTTCTCGCATTGATACCCATGGGTCACTTCAGAGTGAACTCATTTGTGATCTTCTTTCATTGGAAGTTGAATCGGTTGATGGCAGTGCCTCGTTTAAACTCCACTTTGGTATTGCTAGTAGTGTCAATGCCAGCGTTTCTTTTTAATTGTGCAAGCGCTGATAGCAGTGTCTCGTTTGTGGTTAGTTATAACAGCGTTGACAGCAGTGTCTCGTTTGCGGACACCTCATTGTACATCAACTCGCTGATACCGGGTTTCCTATCAACACCATCATCATCATCCTTAACCATGTTTGCTCGAGTTTCACATGGCCGTCCAGCCGCGGCGGTGCTCCTCAGCCTGCCTTGTCACAATGCCAGCACGCGGCAAGGCGTCGCCCCCGCCACCCCCGGCCCCGTGCGATGGCCCGTGGGAGATTCTGCCGGATCCGCCCGCACCGACTCCTCAGCCAGGTGTCGACGTGGTCTTTGAGCAAGCTCACCTCGAAGACATCCGCCGTACACCAGGGATGGGCGGCAAGACCGCCTGCCAGTGGCAGCGCGCGCTGCGCGCCGAGTGCATTGTCAACAACTTGTCGTTCAAAGACGTAACAAAAGACCCGTCCTACGACT